TATATATATATATATATATATATATATATATATATATATATATATTTATCGTTAAATTGACATTTGAAGAGACTGAAGACTCTATTATATAGTAGAGAGACAGGTTTGGCTACTCTCACCTCAGGCGGGCTACTGAAGCACGAGAAAACTCGGATCTACACTTATGCGGGTGGAATACCAAGAGCAGCACTATACGTATAGTAGTAGTACACCTAAAAGTACCAAGAGCAAGAGCAAGACCATGAGGAGGGAAGAAGGAGTATAAGTAAAGGTAAAGCCTGGTATGCTACGGATCGCGTTCACTTAAATTTACTCTATCCTTCCCAAGTACATTGAGTCCTCGGCACAGCAAACTCCAGGCACCAAGTAACTCTCCCTCTCTTTCTCTTATTCTCGTTTGGTTGCTCTTTTACGACTTAGCTTTTACTCTATCCCAAAGCAAGCCAATTGCAAACGCGAAAACGGTCCATTATCGATGCCATGACACCTGGTCTGTTGCCCTCCGCAAGGACTCTTGAGAGTGGTTTTAACGGTTGACTTACTAATGTAAGTCAAAGGCTATATTTTTCGAATAAAGAATTCCAGACTTAATGAAACCTACTTGCTCCCTTTTTTATCAACCACCCAATTTTGGACGGTAATAAAAATCTAAGTCTAAAATTTGTAGACTTTTTTGTAAGAAATAAATTACATTGATATTTATAGTTATATATATACTGATAAAAAAATAATCTCAATTCTAGAGAAAAATTTTAAACCAAGAACGTCATTTTAAAAAGTTTGATTATCTTAAATCAAGTGAAAAAATTATTAATTCAAGATGATCAAATTTTTAAAGATTATTCTTTTTTGTTCTAAATTTATTCCTCTTGAATAAAATTAATTTTGTTATCAGTGTAAGCTAACTAATTTAATTTTCAATCATAATATCTTAAGAGACAAATATTGCAATATTATGAATAATACTGTTAAAATTGTGTTTTCTTTTTTATTTTGAAATTTTCAGTTTTTTGAGCTTTCGAATTTTTCTTTTTTTACATTTTTTTTTCTTTCTTTTTTAAGTTTCTGCAGGCATCGCCAAATGAACCGTTATATGTATAATTTTCGAGCCAAAATTCTCAGATTCAATAATTTATAATTAATATCTCATAATTTAAACTATGTACTAATTATTGTATAATGCCGATTGGCGTCAAATAAATAAATAAATAATAAACTAGGTATAATTAAGAAATAGGTATATGATACATATTTATTTAATAAAAAAAAAAAAAAAAATAATATCTAACTACAGAAAAAATGTTAATTATTAAATTGAATAGAATTTTTTAAATAAAAATAACAGTTCCGTCGACCGTTCATTGATTTTATTGTTTTAAATTAAATATAATCAAAGTAATTATCTAAAATTGATATTTTCTGTCAATAGAATTTTTCAATTGATTTATACAAAATCAATTTAAAATTTTTTTTTTATTTTATTACTAATTTTTTTGAAAATGAATTTCTAAAGTGAAGAAGGTTTCAAGAAATTAAAATAGAATTCTTTTGATCGAATAATAATCAATATTAACGATTCATAAAAGTTACCCGATTTTTTAATTAAAATATTTGGCAAGTAATGAAAAAAATGATGAATAGTAATTTATGAATTCGAATTAATTGAACATAACTAGTGTAATTTGCGCACATCGATTTTGATTTTTTTCCTTGAAAAAAAGCAATAGTTATCTATTAACCACGAAGTAGAAAGGTTCTGGTAGTGAACCCACAATTTTAATTAAATAATCCTGTTTTTACGGAGGATTATTTAAAAATTAAAAAGTAAAAATAGAGATAATAAAATTAATTGTTTCGTTTAAGCTTCGAGAAAATAATGAGAGTGAAGAAGCTTTGATGCGGCGCAAGATTTAACTCGACTATAAAAAAAGTAAATGACCCGCCGGGCAAACTTAATAATTGTGGCTTTGAGTTTCTGCTGGAGATTCTGCTACTGAAGTGTTGACACCTGGGTAACGGTTTATAGCTCTGGTTTAATATACTCTGTTAATATTCTTACACTTTGATATTTATTTATACTTTATTTTATTATCCATCTATATTTTTATCCTTTTACTTACTTGAGCAGTACTTTCAGAGTGCTCTGTCTTATCATACAGCACTGGAGCAGCGGAGCGAGTATTGACGTTTCGTCGTGATAAGGCCGCCCGAAACCACGGCCATGGTCTAGATGCAGTGTGAAGGTGTCATTACCGAATATCTTGAATGTCTCGTAATGATGACGATCCATATTGCCAGACAAAAAGTCCAGGACCGACATATCCATCAGGTCAAGAAGGCGACGACCTTCGTCGTAAGGCGGTATTTCTTTCACCAATGAACAGTAATTTGAATCTGAAATTTTAATCAATTATTCAGTGATTTATTTTATTTCTCATAATAATATTGCTTCAATTATTTTTTTTTTTTTATATTTAGTCAATGCTTGTTACGCTCGTATCATTCGAAGAATTAAGATTAATCATAGATTTTATATTATAATTATTGATTGTATTGAAAAAAAATTTATTCAAGGCTAATTCTGAATTTTTTAAGTCAGTTCATCCGTAAAATAATTTAAAAAAAAATATTATAAGCCAAAATTGTTGTTTTTTTATTGGCTATTAATAAAATTGTTTATTTATTTATTTATTTAAAAACAATTTATAAATTTATTACGTCATTTTTTAACTATTAAAAAAAAAATTTTTAGGGATAAAATTGCATTAGTAATAGTTAATAAATATTTATTAATATTGATGAATTGTTAATAAAAATTTTTTAGGATTAAATTTGTGTCTCACTTACAATATTACATTAATAATTTATACTATGAAATAAAATATTCTGTAATTCCTTTTTATTAATATTTATTTTATTTGTTATTTTTTTTTATAAAAAATAAAAAATATTAATTTGATAAATTGGAATTTTTTTATTTATTCAAGTTATAGATATTAAAAAAATTTCAAAATAAAATTTGGAGATTCACTTTTCATTCAAGCTTCCAAATAAATATTTATAAAATCATTTGATATTAAAACTAAAATTATTAAAAGTTAATAAATAAAACTTTTTAATTATCAAAAAATTTCTTTATCAGTTTAAAAACTTGTAAACGCAATAACTTTTGAAAAATTAATCCAATTGACATGAATTTTTTTTTATTAAATTCATTTCTTCAATACAAAACACCCTATTGAATTTCACCGTTAAATTCCATCGCATTTAATTAAAATTAACAAAAAAATCTTTTACCAGTTTCCCACTGCGCTTTTTTACGCTTGTGATAACTTCGCCTCCAAGGATGCCTCCAAACTTTGCGACTCGCCATTTCTCTGGCCGGCAGAAACGCGGCGAAGCTCCCCTCCAGGGTGTTTGGATTCCCGCAAATCGCGTGCCCAGTGTCACAATAGTAGCTGCATTGCCCGTGGAAACAAGTGTTGCCGACCGGGCTTACGAAAAATGTCTTCAGTAAATTACCCTCCGCCAGCTGATAAATCTCCGACGTCATATTCAATGTTCTTCCTGTGACCGGCATCGCTCTTCTGAACCCCAGAAGCCTGCTCACATTCGAGTAATTAATTGCTCTGTTATGCACGAAAAATCTGAATAATCAACTGAGTATTTTTTTTTAGATTTACTCACTTGTCCAAATGAAATGTTGCTATTTCAGCCACATGCCTCTCGAAATCTGTAAAATAAAAATGGTTCGGCAATGTTTGCTGTTCCCTCGGAAATCTGTAATCAAAAATCGACAAATAATATTTCATTAATTTTTTTATTATTTTTAATTTTTTCATACATAAGTACAAACGTTTTTTGGAATTTTTTTATGAGAAAAAAAAAATCAAAAAATCAAAAAATTTTACTTTTGTTTTAGAAAACTGAAAAAAAAATGACACAAATTTTCCAATTGCAAATTTTTACGTGAAATTTAAAATATTTATAATTTTTATTTCCTTATAACAAAATGATGATAAATTTAGCAGATATTTAATAATTTTTAGAATTTTGTTTAACAAATAAATTATCGCAAGAAAAAATATAAAAAAAATTGACATGTAGAAATTTTGAAAAATTAAAAATGCAATTTTTTATAAATAATTTTTTGGAGCAAATTTTTTTGTTAAAAAAAATTAAAAAATTCTCTAGTGATTGCTAACTTTAATGTCATTATAACAAACATTCAATTACTTTATACAAAATTATAAAGCTGAAAGTGTCAAAAACTTTCTATCGTAATTAATCATGATAACGGTAGTTTCCAGCCATTAAAAATAATCCACTATAATTAGACGCATTATCACAACATTTATATAAAAACAAATGTATTATTTATTATATTATTATTGTAGTTAATTCTTTTGTAAGATTTAATAAATCTTTTCTTTACTTCATGATGACACAATAACAGAAAGTCCAACTGAACATTGATGACATTCATCACATCATATATACCAGAAATGTGATCGTATAATAAACACAAGCGCTATTATTGTTAGTAACATTGTTGTGTGTTTGTCATTGTCGATATTGTACAGTGTCGTTGACATTGTTGATGTTGATGTTACTGTTGTTTTTCTCCTCTGTACTTTGCTGTCTTGATGTGAAAGGAAATGAAGGAATGAAAACAGATGAAAAATGTAACGTAACGACCGAGTGGTATTATTATTATACATGGAGGTACCTACAATTAATTCATACAAAACAAAACAATCATTTTCAACAACACAACCTAGTTTATTGCTTTACACTTTTTTTCGTCGCTACAGTCGTTGTCTTTTATTTCTCGTGAGAACTTCATCATCCAGGATTATATTTGTTAGTCTGTTAGTTTGCTAGTTAGTTTTTCTGTAACATTAATTAATTAAGACACTTATTTTAGGTAGATACGTGTCGGCTAACAACGATGTAAGACAAAAAAGGTTTTCTAAACTTTTTTAATTTTGACCCGAAATTACTAATAAGTCGAACAAAGTTAACTCAAAATTTAAAAACGACCATTCGGCAGTCGAATTAAACTAAAATTCTGATCTCTGTATATTTAACTGAATCCCGGAAAAAATAGACCGATTATTCCGGAGGTGCTTGTTTTTCAAGAAAATTGTGGGGGTGGATATTATAATTATTATTTTATGATAATTTAAATAAAATAATATGAATTATCCATAACTTTAAAATTTTTTTCGATTACCATTTAACTATATTTAATTAAGTTAATTAAAAAAAATAATTAGAAGTGTTCAAATTTAAATAAGCTTTCAGGTGCAGTTTAAAAAAAGTTTGGAAAATCCAAAAGTGCACGCCTCGTAACGCTCATTCATTTTTTAAGAAAATATAAATTGTGTAATTGATTAAAAAAAAAAAAAATTTATAATTAAATAATTTCTTACAGAGTATTTTTTTTTTTTAAATATCAGCGCCTAAAAAAATCTAGCTTGATCAAGTGCGGCGCCATAGTTTTCACGTGACAAATTAGAAAAATTCATTTGTCTTTGTACGGTTGTATCGTAGTGTATTATAATAAAAATTCAATTTAAAAAAAAATCCGTAAACTAGGCTACTGATATGAAATGCGGACCTAGTTCATCGCATTCTTAAACTAATAAAAAAGGTCCGGTCTTGAAATATCAATTTGTTCGGAAGTAATCATTGGTACATCCAAAATGGGGTGACATCCGGACGTCCACGTAAAATTTTTTTTTAAAACGTTTTTTTATTTAAAAATAGCTACATGAAATGATTTTAGAAAGTAAAAGATGGTTTAATTTAAGTGTTTTCTCGGTGTACATCTACTTATATTATTGTATAAGTGTAATATGGTTGTGATAGAGACATTTAAAGATCACAAAATTGCTTGACCTTGACGAATCGAGTATAAAGCACCACCTCACGCGCTTCGCGCTATGAGGCGTGCAATATTTTATAGGATTATTGCATTTAATATTAATTGCACAAGACAGAAATAAAAATGAATTTTAGTGATTTTTAAAAAATTTTAAATTATTGTCATTTATAAACTAATCGATCGATTTGGCTTATCTTCGAATTTAACCTTGGAAACCGTCCAAGGAATGAGTATGTTACGTTGTATTGAGATTCGTGTAGAATTGCAGGAGTTATAGAAGAGACAAGATCCGCTATATCGTATAAAAATACATACATACAAAACTTTTAAACCATATGTATTTTCTGAACCAGCTTGACGAACCGAGTGAGGAAAGAGAAAATTTTTTCGAAAGTTGTGTCATGAAAACAAATGCAGAAAATGCAAAAAAAATTGAGAAAAGACTAATTTTTAAAAGCTCAAAATCATAAAGCAGATATTCAATTTAATAATAAATAGTAATGAATGTAAACATTAAACTTAGTGACTATTGTGAATTGCGACTAATTACTGTTACTCTGTGTTAGTTTTTATTTTGGAGCGGCCATATTCTCAAGAGATTAATTAATTCCTCGCCACAAGGTAATTAACGCTGAGATTTGCATATGATTAAAAGTCAACATCGGACGGTTTACTTTGGGAAGGAAAAGTGAATAGAATTTAGCTTTTACCCGTACCGGAGAATTTTCACTTTATTATCACCTCGCCGATTCCTCTCTTCTTCTCTTTTTATTATTCCACTATCTCTTTATCACGGTTTTGTAGTTATATTTATAAATACATGCTTTATACCAAAGATAATTGCATACTCTTGTACTTGCTGCTTACTAAATCACCGTTAATGATCGTGTTTAGCTGGATAGTGTGTTACTTAATTTTCATTTTGTTCACTAAATTGTAAATTAATTGACTTTTTGCTGTTATTCGATCAAATTTATGAGCAGATTTTTTTTTTCCCGAAATTTAGAAAAATAATCATTCAAAACAATTGTTAAAAATTCGTTTTCTTGAAAATTTCAATACATCTATTCTAAAAAATATAAAGATTGAATGGCCGAAAAATTAAAAAGTTAAAAAATTCAATGATTTAATAGAATTTAATTGACAAAATTCGGCTTTGAAATGTTCAATTTTATTTATTTTTTTGCTAGAAATTACTATTCTTTTTTTATATTAAAATTTATTGATTTAATTGGATGATTATTATTTAACCAGAATATTCTTCAGCTAGGCTTTATTACTTGCCGGTAGTAAAGAAAGAAAATAATTTTAAAGAGCTTTATAGTCTTGATTAAAGTGTAAAAATTCTTAAACTAAAAATTTTTCTTGGTTTAAGTAAATTTTACTTCATTAAAGACAATAAAATTCGTCAAAATAATTTTTTTCTTGTGTAAAGATCAAAAATTTTAACCGAAATCAAACATAAAAATAATTTAATAAAAGAGTTGTTAAAAAAAGTTAAATTATAAAAAATTGATTAAAATTTTTTATTACTATCAGAAATTAAGTCAATTATATAAAATTACAACCCGAGACGCGAGACGTATCTGCTAAAAATGTGGACTACATGAAATAAAACGTAAAAAAATCTCTCAATTTCAATTAAAAGCTTGTATTGCCTACCAAAAAAATTCAAGTTCTCCAATTAAATTAAAAATCTGGTATGTTTACACTTTTGATTAAATGTTTCTCGAATAACAGTACGCCGGTATGAAACCTCTGTTAATAAAACCCCAATAATAATATACAAAGCGGATTAGATATTATATAAAAAAATAAAAATATAAGGAATAATTTTCGGTTTATATGGGCAATCAATTTGGTATCTTAACGTACTCAAAAGTTGAAGATTAATCGTTACGACATCTCAACACAGTTATCACAAGAATAACCCACCGGTATATATTCTTGGTAACATCACACAATAACGTGTGTTATTCTCACGGGAGCTTGCGCTACGAAAACTTTAGTAGTACGCGTAAAACTTTTGCGAAAGCATCACATCTGAGGTAAGGGGCCGGAGGATAATATGAAACGCGTATAGAAAACTTTTCCCCTGAGATTCGTCCTCGTCCTCATCTTTTTCCTCTTCTTCATTTCTCAACACCCATGCACACACACACACTTTCTCGTTTACCCTATTATACATATACTACAGCATCCAGACTCACACGCACACACACACACACAAATACACAACTCATCGTTTCCGTGTAATACTTTTGCGAAACATACTAACTCGGATGTACCAAAGATTACCGCGTCCTATGAAAGTCACGGTGTTGTCGTTCCTTCAAGTACAAAACTTTCTTCGCACTTACTTCCGACATTGCTAACTAACAACTAAATCATCACATAATAATTTATACATCTACTCACTTTATTTTTATGTCTTTAGGATGCTCATGCATGAGACTTTATATTATATAGGATCTAAAATTTATCGTTTCAGAAAATACATTTACGATTTTTTTTTAATTTGTTTTTTTAATGTTTTACTTACTTGGTATATATTAAAAACTAAATCAATGATTCTTCCAAATTTTTACTTGGCATTTATTAAGAAATAAATGGCAGATTTATCAAAATTTTTCTTTAACATATAATCTATAATTTTTTTAAATTTTTCCTTAATATTTTACTTGGCATATGTTAAGAAATAAATCCATGCTTTTTAAAATTTATTATTTGGTATATATTCCGAAACATTAACCCATGATTTTTCAGAAATTTTTATTCAGTATGTCAATTGACAATACTTTACATTTTCTCTTGATAAGTAAAATGTTCAAATAAAACATTACTTATAAAAACCTTTCCCATAAATTAAAAAAAATATATTGTGCAACATCAAAGCATAATTGATCAGTAAGTAATTTGACTTAAGGTTGTTCGGACATTAATGCACTTTTGAAAATCGGAAGCTAATTTTTTGATATGTTATAAATTGCTATCTCATACGTCTAAATTAATTTTTTGGAATAAATCTGACGTAGGGTTATCGTTTAATAAATTATTAAAAAATTGAAATATATCATGTAGCTTATAGAGACTATTGGCTAATTGCACATATATCGATTTATGTAACTACCTCATAGGATGATTAAAAAATAAAAAACTTATATTTCAATCAATCAACTTTCGTAGAATACGTTGAAAATAAAATGAAAATTTTCTGACGAAGGCTTTTAAAGATATTTTAATGCAAAAGATAAAAAATTCACGAAAATATCAATCCGACATACTTAAAAATAAATAAACCACGTGATTCAGTGCAGTTTGGCAACGTTGCACAGAATAGAACGCGCCAATTTTGAATTTTAATAATTCCTGTGTATTTTTATGGGTTATGTTTGTCGACAACACTACACAGCGAGATAAATATAAACAGCTGTTAAGCGCGATGTTGCCAAGTCCAAGTTTTGAGAAAAAATACTTGAGTCAAACGTTGACTGTTTATTGTTTTTGTTAGTTAAATTATTTAATTAATCTAATTAATAATAATGTTGGGTAACGGTTAAATTATAGCAATGAATTTTCATATTCAAATTTTTAATTTTAATTAAAAAAAAAATTTAGATTCTATTATGACTTACGGGGTACTGTCCGTGCAACCTTAACTTCTGCTTTCAAAGTTAATAAAAAAAAAAAAAAAAACCAAACATTTAAAAATCACTGTAATTATTATTTTACCGAATTTATCAAGGAAAGCCTTTGTTTTCTGGGTGAATTTGATGAACAGAAGTGAAGAATGAAAAAATGAAGTAGATAGAGCAGCTCAAAAGATTGCCAACGGCGCTTGAATATTTAAGAGAGAGCCGACGAGAAAAGCCCCGGTGGTCGATATAAATGCAAGTGCTGAGAGACTTCTCTGAGGGCAATTTCGTATGTAATGAGAAATATCGCGAGTTGAAATGGAAACGTGTTGTACAGAAAGCGCGAAGAGAACAATATATATATATATATATATATATATATATATATATATATATATATATATACTCAGATATCCAGTTATGTATAAATGTACGCGGGCAATTTCAAATATGGCCCAGGATACAGAAACTTTTCCACAGCAACTTATTGCTCAACTTATTACAGAGTTTAAGCCATTTTCTCGTGGTTTTGTTCAGGATACAGTGGGTCTCCATTTGGTAATGTTGCTTTGCTTCTTCTGCTCCGTCTCCTCCTACTCACTTACCTCGAAAATCTTCGGCCAGCAAAACTTTTAAACTGCATTATATATATTATACTTGTATGTGGACTTTACAAAAGAAACAGATGGTGAAAATTTTCACAGATATATAATAGTATACTGCGAATTACCATTTATAATTTTTAGAAAAATATTATCATAATTTTTATTCTTATTATTTTTAACTAATGTTTTTTAAGAAAAGTTAATGAAATTTAAAAAAATTATGCTTTTCAAAGACACGGTAGTGTTTCGCACCAAGTATGTGTAAAATAGAGTGGGGATGTGCGTCGAACTTTGCGCGGTAATCTATGGATACATCTAAAAAGGTTTAAATATAATTGTACAGATAATTTATAAAAAATTTCTTTTCGTCTCATGAAATAATAAATAATATTTTTTTTTAAATAAATTATTAAGTTTTGGACTTTTTGACACCTTTGTACGTAATTTACTAGAAAAAATTTATGAAATTACAATATTTTGTAAATTTTTTGATAAATAGTTTCTTTATCAAAAAGAATTTTGTTTCGCTCTAGACTGGACGGAAGGTACTTTTCTTATTGCATTTGCATAATAAATATACTTTTCTCATGTTCAAAGACGAAAAAAACTGATGCATTTCCCTCCATTTCCATATATTGATGGCCAGCGATGACATAACCATAATTCAATAAAAAAAAATCTCGGTTTTACTTTACTAAAAAAATTGATTTATGCGTCAATCGAATCTAATTTTTCAGATTGATATGTCAAAAAAGTAATAAAAAAAAAACATTGCAAACATAATAGGCAAAAAGAATTGAGAAAAAATGGTGAAATTTATTCTTTCATGAGATTGATATGAAATGACACGAATGCATTAGCGTAATGTAATTCGATTCTATCATACGATCGACCCGAATTTACAAGACATTTTTTTTGCAAGCAAACTAAGTGATTAGATGAGACGGGAGTTATTGATGCGTTGAGATTTTTATTAAATGATTAAGTCTATCTAAATGATTAAGTTTCTAAAAAAATTTTTAATTTTAAAAGCAAATTTTCTAAATGAAAATAGAACAGCAAATTTATTAGTCTTGGAACGACTATTGATGTCCCAAGTTTCATGGATAATTACAATTATAAACTTTAGAAAATATCTGAAATTGACATATTTGGTTACTTAACACTTGATTAAACTTGGTACAACATTCAGCCGTGCAAGAAGATGTAAGAGATATATTGTAAACTATTTGCCTTTATAAATTAGGAAGTGAGCCTAAAATTATCTCCGTTATGAAAAATCTTTTGATCGATAAATAATCAATGATGAATTTACATGTTGTAATTTACAAAATTAAAGATAAACTTTTTATTCTTACAATTTTATTTCTGTCAAGACATTATCTAATTTACACTTTCAATAATTTTTTACATTAGAAAAAAATGTAAATTTCACATTAAAAAAAATGCAAATTTGTTGTGTGAAAAAAATATTAAATTTACAAGGAAATAAATATAAATTTGGCATTAGAAAATTTATGAACTTTACATACACAAGGAAAAAATGTATTATATAAGACTATATAAAATTATAAATAACAATTTTATATAAACATGTACTTATAATGTAATATTTTTCTTCCCTGGGTATGTTATTTTTACAAAACCATGCTTGTAAATTGAACAGTTTTTTTTTTGTAAGTTACCATATCTATCTGTAATTTTCTTACAATTTTTTTCTATTTAAAAATAACGAGCAAAATTTTTTTTTAAATTTTGACCCAAGAAATATGAAAATTCTGATCAATAAATATGATAAATAATACCTATGTCATTATTATTAATTCAACGATAACAATTAGTGTAGAAATGTCTCGAGAGAACTGTCAATTTTGATGACTCGTGGGATATGTGGGATACATATTATTCATTATGTATACATATAGTACAGATACAGATATATACATGGGCTTATAAATGTTCAAATGAAGAGAATCGTGCTTAGAGTATGATGGAATTACGAGACAATTACATAAGTGAACAACCGAGAGTAGTTGGTGGTATAAGAGCACTTGCGAGAGAGAAATGATCGAGTTCAGCGTACCGGCACTTAAATATTCTCTTGATTACTACCAACTTACAACAATCACAGCTACTCAATAATAATGATAATAACAACTATTTAATAAAAAGCATTGAAAGGAACGAATAATACAGATATCTCACGTACAAGCTATTCAAAATCTCTTGGGTTTTATAAAAGACTTGTACGTATTCGTATTTTTCAATGAATAAATTTTTTTGTCAAGCAAAAAATTATATCTCCCTATTGAATCCGGGTTAACAAAGAGATTGAAATTGAAACTTCTTTAAGAGGTTGATTCGTCGCTTCCTTCAAGATGAAAGGCTCACTTCAAACCACATACTCTTTCTGACCCCGATGTTGCTAACGAGATATCATTGATTATTTCCTTTTGCTTATTTAATGAATACTTGATTCCTTAACATTAATACTTGAATATAAATTTTTTTTAGTCGCTCTGTAAATATAATACTCACCTCATTGGTTTGAACAGCGCTTGTAAGTCATCTGGATAATCAATCACTAATTTTAGCTGCGTACCACCCTCTTTTTGGGCTGAAAACAGATAAATGAATGTAACTTTTAATTACCATAATTTACTTATGCATTTAATGATAGTTTTAACCATTAATTAGATCGCAAAGGGGTCATTATTGAATAATAAATGTTATGGAAATGGAACTTTAACACGATATTTAAAGATTGACATTTGGCTGGACGATTATCGAATTTCAGTTACAGGATTGTTAATTTCTTATAAACTTATGTTCTAGTTGTGTCTAAAAGATATTATATTTATTTTTCTATAAATTTTCGATGACTTAGTTAATGGATCTTCAATAATTAGATAAAATTATAAGCAGTCTAGACGGGCTTTTAAATAATGGTTGTTAATGAAGAATTAATTAGGTCACTGAAATATCTCTGTAATTGTGTAAAATGATAACTGAATGGTTTTCAATTTTGAGAATGAGTGACTTTTATTTCTAGTTTATTTTTTAGTTTCAATGAAATTGAGTTTATAAATAAAGCTATTTCTAATCACGATTTAAGGTAAGCATCGATAAATTTAAAAAATTTTTTCTCATTAGGCGTTTATTGATTGAAGTGTTTGAAAACTGAGGTAAAAATTTCCAACGAAAATTAATTAGCGAAAATCAGGACTCATTAAAAAAACTAATTAAAAAATAATTAGTAAATTAATTACAAAATCAGAAGTTTTGAAAACTAGAAAAAATTTTCATTAATCACTTAATAAAAATTTTATCAACTTGAATGTAAGTATAATTGTGTAAACATATATTTAGGAAATTGAAAATGAGATATAGTATTTTTGATATTTATTTTTGAGAGAAGAGACACCTTGCTGTCATACAATATTAATATTATACAGACCTAGTAACTATAACTATTCTTCACTTAATGATACTGCCGGAAATGATTGCTTATTCACGTCAATTATGGAGTAGATATTATTACTTTATGACAGGTGCTTTAACGTACTAAATTATTTAAAATTATCATTGCACTGTTAGATATTTTTAGCTGTCGATTATTGAAATATTTTGTGAATGAAATAGACGAGTTTAAAATAATTGAAGATTTGTCAATTTTGATAAATTATCTGTACTGAAGGGTTAAATTAAAAACCAAATTTTACTATGGAATCTCTTTTTATAAAAGATATACCTGACGCAAAAATTTTCTTACTCTCTTCAATATGGATTAATATTTGATATGTAATTACATTCAAATATAAAAAACAGAGTAAATAAATAAAAACTTTTCCAATGTTATAAAATTTTATTGAAAAAATCAATTTTATCATATAAAGTAATAATAATAATTTAGTGAGTTAATTTATGAGTATCTTGTCATAAATTCAAAAGTAAATTATGAAAATGACAATGTCACTTTTTTTTTGACAAGTGATAAAAGACTTATTCTACTAAAAATAAAGAATTAAATGAGTTAATAACTCCCTAAAATACCGAAAGGAGATACTTACTGCTGTCACTTATTTCTGTCTTGTAGATACATAAGACCACTCATGATTATTACGACAGATAATTTTATCACGAATTTATTGATCGAAATTACCTACGCGAGTTACAATTGTCTCCAAGTTTAATCCGAAGGATGTGAGAGATAATAACTGACATTAAATTTAATACACGACTACTTAAGTGTATACCATATAGTATATTGTATAGTTTATACTATAGTTTAGTATACTGGATATAATAATACACTGCGGACTGCGTACATACATTGTAATGCGTACAATGTAAGTATAGAGATTAATGTTCTTAGTGGGAGTTATCCAACAGATCTGATATGACAATTTGTCATTTGATAAATGTACTAAGAGCACTTAGTTAACTCCCACATGCCCAGATAAATTTAATAAAATAAATTATCAACTTCCGAGCTTTTAACAATTATAAATACTTTTTTTATTTTTTATCATTATTTTTCAAATAACTTACCAACGTGAACTATTGGTTTTGTTGCCATTTCATGGAGTAATTGATCAACAACTTCCGAGTCTTTCGGGTAAAGTTCTAGTCTTGATATTTGTAGGTGGAATTTTTTTAACGTTGTCATATTATTTCTGAAACAAAAATTACCATTACATTTATTCAAGTTTTTACAATTTTTTATAAATTAATCATTTTTCATGTCAAAATTTTTAATGATCTTAAGAAGCATTTCCTCTGTTATGAAAATAATTTAAAGATATGATTTAATATTTAAATTAATACAAAATCTTTAAGTCTCTGTTGAGCGACATACACAGAAAAAAAAATGTTCTTGAATCCAGTATATAATTTTGAAGAACTTAATCTTCTTTATTTTTAGTAGAAAAATTCTTGAGCTAATAAATTTTTCTTGATTTAAGGAAATTTTACTTGATTCAAGAATTTTTTGTCTTGATTCAAAAAAAAATTACCCTCTTCAAAATTATTTTTTTGGTTCAAGAATTTTTTTCTCGAATCAAATTAATTTTTTTTTCAGTGTACTTATGAAACCAAAACGTAGCTTAGGTCAAAATAAAAAAAAACTACTATTAAAATTTAAGATGAAAAGTAATGCGTATTAACCAAAAGACAAGTTTCAATTTTTGGATATGCTTAATATCACTCTGTACTTAAATTAAGTCGTAAAGTCATATACAGACCGAGCAGTTTATATATTATTAAAGTTACGGTCATTAAGTATTATACTCTCATGAATGTGTCGCTTCAGAACATTATCTCTTATAATATTTCTTGAATTATTCGACGAAAAATTTTGGATAACACATTAATATTTTCATTATGATTTTAAATTTATGCATTTGAAAAGGTTCGAGCGAATCTTATGTTAAATACAATTTCCAGGTTTAAGCATTGAAATTCATTGTTCATGGAATAGACATTAAACATTAAACATTTAAATGTAATGATACATTATTAATCCATTCTAAAAATTTAAGAATGACCCAAATTTTGAGTTTTTCTGAAAAAAAGTTTAAAAAATGACGTTTTTGAATTTTTATACAGAGTTTCTTAAGGTTGACAAGCTTCCGTCACGTTCTTTTTTTTCAGTTTCTTTGGTATTTTCTAGTAAATTTTCCAACTTTATTTGTTGAGAAAAAATTATATGCAATAACTTGATTAGTTGTTAAAATGGTAACATCTCAAAACTACAACATGATTATCGATATTATAATGCCAAAAATTGAAATTAGTTTGTTTCTTGAATCTTTTTTTTTTTTTTTTTAATTTGTTTAAAGTCGCATAAACTACTAAGGTCATGAGCGACTACGGTAGGGGGTAAACTTTTGAGATTGGAACTCGTTTGTATTTCTTGGGCTGAGCAGAATAATACACTTAAATATTGAAAATATTCATTGGTGTACGCCGGACTCGAACCCGGTCCAATGCTTTGGTAGCAAGGGTCAGATCCGATAGGCTACTGCGCGCCTTTTCTTGAATCTTGTTTATTGATGGTAATTTATATTATTGAAGGTTTGGCGCCATCACAAGAACATTCAATTTGATATTCAATTCAAGTATTTGAAATGTTCGAATAATTTGAATTATTCCAATAGTTTGTATTAATTGACAAATTGAAACTATTCAAGGAATTTGAATTCTTCTAACTATTCGAATTTGTCGAATATTTGATCCAAATTTCTAATCGAGTTATTCGCCTCAAATAATGCGACGTTTCAAATACTTGGACACCTCTAATTCAACTATTACAAACATATAAATAACTTTATAAAAATTCTATCATGAAGTGTCATAAGTAAGCTTTATTTTAGCTAATTTTTAAAATTTTTTAGTCAAATATAGTGATCTAATCCATGATCAGTCAATTACTTCAATACTTTTATCCCAAATGTATCTCACTTTACAATAATAAAATGAATAATAATTATGGAATAAAATGATAATGTATTCATATCGAGTAAACATTACAAGTATTTTATATAACAATATTTATTAGATTTATTTTATGTGGATTATTCTAATAGCATAGCTTTGCATTCAATGCAATCACTTCTCCCTATTCTATTTCAAGGAACATAACGTTATTCCCAACGCATTTCTCGCAAATGTCTCTTTATATGTATACATAAAGTATGATATACGTATAAATATATAAATATACAGATCTGAGAATGTATATAAGTATGTATGAATACAGATATGGATATGGATACAGATATGTGTACTTTGTATCACATACATGATCCCCAAGCGATTTGGCTCTGAATGCGAACAGTTTTCAATCTGTTTACAGATCTAGAATTCCAAAACTACGCATTCTGGATATTCTTCGGTATGATAATCTCACAGCGCACTTTCTTCATTATCATAAAAAAATTTCGATCTTTTATTTATTATTTACATCGACTTGTTGTTACCAACAAACTTAGTACAAAATTAAGTTAAATATAATCAGAGAAAAATTCTGAGATTTCCAAATATATTTTTGGTTTTTATTTTTATTTAAACATGGATTTTAATTATTAACAATGAATATCAGATTGCGACGGAATAAAATCAATCAGTCGGGTTCAATAATAACTACCCTACAGAGATGAACAATTGTCCTTTTTTGAAGATTCAGTTTATTATTTATACCGTTGTTCACTCGAAATTTCTTAAAATTCAGGTCAAATATAAATAGAAATTAAAAAATTTTAAAAAACTGATAAAAATCCGAAAAAATAAATATTCCTTGCTATTCGATTAATTTTTTTTATCGAAAGTGACATTTTTTTCTCAAATGATGAGATAGTTTTTATACTTCGTTTTTTCCTTATTTTTATTTTTCCTAAAGATGGTATGGATTTTAGCTGTGACATGTAATATTGTTGAAAATCCAGATGGAAAGAAAAATAAATGAAAAAAAATTTAACAGGTGCAAAAGTAGGACATATTGAGGAAAGAAATTTTCGCCGTGAAAATAATATGAAAAATTTTAATTTTAATTCAATAAGAAAATTTTCAATTATAAAAGAATATTAGTATAGTTAATAATAAATTAATATTAATCATTGTTTATAAATTTTATATACCAAAAATTTTTTAATCATGAATAATTATCAAATGTTCGGTTTAACGAAAAAAAATTTATTTTGTAATACAAACAATAAAATCTAATAACTTTTAAAAAAAAAATCGAGTAAACTTCAGAGGTATTTGCTGTGACAACAATAATTTTAGTCAACCATGACGACTTTTTAAAATGCATAGAATACTGCTCGGTTAGCTCTTTCTTACATTTAGTTGTTAGTTCTATTTCACGGCCCCTTTGAGCGGTTGCAGTTGAAGTAGGCGGTCTGATAGGGTGCTTCTCTCAATAAGCAAGAGAAACGTACGGAAGAAATAAAGAAAAAAAAAATTAAAAAATAAAAATAAAGAAAGTAAAAAGACGACGGAAAACGTGAGGTTTTCCCAAGGTAGTGAGAAAGCTGAAGAGGTATGGAGTCGTACTTTACTGAGGTTTTTTCTTTTTCGTCATCTCCAATGTCCCGTGGGTGAGCTGCACCGGATGCTGCCCTTTTTTGTTGTCTAGATATATATATATATATATATATATATATCTATATACGTATCTAAAATATAAGGGATGGGAAAGAGGATGAGAAATAGAAAAGGCGATGAAAAGACGGCTAAATTCTAAAGAGAATTTTTGATATTACTTTTACGGATTCTAAATAAAATACATCTGAGTATCATTTCATTATTATTTTAATAATAATAATAATAATTTCAATTGAAATAAAAATAAATTAAATATTTAATTGTATCTTGTTTCAGGTTGTTTATGTAATTGACTAATATAATTGAATAATGACGAACAGGTACGTAGTACAAGAAGAGGAAGCCACCCTGCTGAGGAAATCAGGGCTCCATTCTCTAGTTAGCGGTTTAGTTATATTAGATATATATATATATATATATGTATGTACGTATATGTGGATGTGTGTATGTGTATATATTACCAAAGTGTATAGGAAAGGTAGTAACTCTTTAGAGTTACTGTATAGCACAGAGTTAGTAGTGTAAGACGGAAACGGTTTATACGCCTTCTTCAACCCCCTTTGCTCGTATGGGATGCATACTAACCACTTCACGGAACGCTAGTAAATCTCGAGGAATTATTCGATGGTGGTTTGAGTTAAACTCGAAAAAACCTATCACTAATCTAGACTAACTTGACATTTTGTGAATAAACATGTAGTTGCTTTTTAATTTGAATTAATGCCTGATGGCTCCGTGTCTTTATTAATCCGTAAAAATTTCTCGAGACAAAAATTTATTTCATGCAAAAAATTCTCACTCTAAAATTTCTTGATTTAAAAAATTCTCACAGTACAAAAAATTATCATTCAAAAATTTCTCAAAGATTTTATTATTACAAACAACAATAATAATTAAATAAATATTAATTTCAATAATCTTGTAAACGTGTTGTGCCATTTTGTCATGGTTTTTGTGTGTGGTTCTACGACATTAGACCAACATATAAGCTTGTTACCGTGTTGTATCTTTTTTAATTTTTGCATGAAAAATTTTTCATGAGAAATTTTTGTCGCGATAAATTATTACGGATTAATAAAGACACGGAGCCATATTTAAATAAATTTTTTTATAAGAAAGTAACACCGAATAAATTTTGACAATGAGAAATAAAGCCTTTAAAAAAATATTAAACCAGAAATTATTACTGAGAATTTCTGTCGCGAGAAATTTTTGCATGAGAAAAAACAGACGGTCACCAATTATAAGTAAAAAGACCTTCTTAAGATTGTCGTAAAAAACTAAACTATCATTGAACAAAAACTGATAGATTAAAAAAAAAATTTGTGTAAAAAGAACAACTTTTAATCTAGAATTCATTCGAAAATATTATCAAGTTTCGATCAATAATTATAATTTATAATCAACAATCTTTCAATACACGTATCAGGCATGGTGACCGTCTGTTTTTTACGACAATCTTAAGAAGGTTTTTTTACTTATAATTACATATGCAAATAAACCTTTCTGCATCCCGTATAGTGCTATGTATAAAAGCCTCAAAATCTCAAACTTTGAAACTCAATTTTTT